ACACACACACACACACACACACACACACACACACACACACTCACACCCACACACGGACTCTCTCTCTGTCTCTCTCACACCCAGACATACTCTGGTTCACACACACTGTCTCTCTCTCTTTCACACACACACTTACGCACACACACAGACTCGATTCTCTTTCTCTGTCTGTCTCTAGTTCACACACACTTTCTCTCTCTCTTAACACACACACTTACACACACACACAGACTAGCTCCCTCTCTTTCACAAACACACAGATTCTCTCTCTCTTTCTCTCTCTCTCTAACACACACACAGACATATTGTCTCTCTCTTGCCCCGATTTACAGCCACGACATTATAGGACTATAACTGCAGTACATTCGTTGTCGAAGTACAGTCACGGCATTATAGGACTATAACTGCAGTACATTCATTGTCGAAGTACAGTCACAATGGATTGGAGGCACAACGCAAAAAGCCCAAAGAAGGTACGTTGACTGCACACAGGGTTGGAGGCACAACGCACTGTCAGAAACAAACACTCTCAGAAGCACAAACTCTCTCACACACACACACTCTCACCGCTACAGTACAGAGCCAAAGTCAGCAACACCTTTCAAAAAAAAGTGAAACATTACAGAGCCAAAGCCAGTAATAACTTTCAGAAAAAAATGATACATTACACAATGCAAGGCAAATCCGAAACAGAACCAAAGTTGTTCACCAAAGTCAGGAACACCTTTCAAAAAAACATTGTGTTGCTTCACCAACTTCACCCCTGGGCAACGGACTTAACAAAATGAAAAAGAAAAGCTAAGTCTGTTGCCCCGGGGTCAACTCCAACAGGCTCCCGGTCAACAGTCAACAAAAAAACTCTACAAGTCAATGTCGCAAAGTCCAGTGAGCCGAACTCCAAACAAACACAAACCAGGCCCTGGCTCCAGGGGCCTCATCTACTCTGTCATCTACTCTAAAGTAAGGTGCTGAGAACTGGAGGTGAGTCCTCACAGAAAATCAAACTCGACACAGTGAGCCAAACCCCAGACAAACGCAAACCATGCCCTGGCTCCAGGGGCCTTATCTACTCTATCATCTACTCTAAAGTAAGGAGCTGAGAACTGAAGGTGAGCCCCCAGCGTCCACACACCCTGCAACACAAACAGAACTTAAAATGTCGAACAAACCAAAGAGAAGAGTACGACCACTCTTAGGCCACCTCCACACACCCTGCAGCACAAATCCACAACCTCCAACTCTACCAGCGATGAGAACATGAGACAAGTTGATTGATGAAGTCTGGTTTCTCTTCTCGGTAAAACCTCCGAGGGGCGCAATCCTTTCTACGTGGATCGATTTTGATCCTACATCGGCTTACTGGCCGGATTGTACCAGGGTAATCATCAGCGACATCAACTGTGTTGCTCCTCGCCCTTTACAAAAGCGAACGTCCAGAAGCGGACAGGAAGATCTCTCTCGCACGGACAAACAACAGTGAGAATACAGTTGCGGATGAACACAACAACGGTAAAAAAGGCGGATGTTACGTACAAACAGCAGGGGTACTTACAACAGTGCACACACACACACTGTGCGCCAATCTGCGATGGCGGACCTGCACGCAGAATGCAGGTGGGGGGCTGAAGCGGCAGGAACGTAACAGGAGACTCACTAGGATCAGGAGCCTGCGACACCTCACTTGTCACAAGTGCTTAACTGCAGTATTGTTAAGAGAACTATAAATATGTCTGCAGACTTTCTGCGGACAGATTTATAGTTCTCTAAGCAAAGTTTAAGACAACTCTGCAGTATTTGTTTAGAGAACTGTAAATATGTCTGCAGAGTTTCGGCGGACAGATTTATACCATAAGCGAAGTTTAAGACAAGCACTTTAAACCGGTATGCAAGTCTTTACTTTCGTTTAAAGCACTACAAATCTGTCCGCAGAAAGTCTCCAGACATATTTATAGTACTATAAACGAAATTGCTGTGTGCCAGCATCCCGTGTCCGTGTCCAACTTCCTCTTCAGCGACCTTTCGAGCCCAGCGCTAGCACATGTGTTGTCGCCTTTGGGCTCGTAACCTCTTCAGCTGCAAGCTTCCTCTTCCTCGATCTCGTCGTGGTTCCTCTTGACGAGTCCTGGCTTGCCGCAGGTTCTGCGTAGGACGGTTGCTTGCGTTGTGCCACTGCTGCAGCTGTTGCTGGTGTCATTGCTGCTGCTGTCGGTACAGATCCTGTCGCTGCCGTTCCTGTTGTGGCAGCTGCTGCACCCTCTTCTACAAACTGTGGCTCCGTTGCTGCAGCTGCTGCTCCTGTTGCCGCAGTTCCCATTGTCGCTGCTGTTGCACGCTCTCCCACAACCGCCTGGGCCTCACCACTCAATGCCGAGGGGGCTGGCACTGTTTTTGCCGGACTGATGACCTCGAGCTCGTCTTGTAGCGGTTGTGCACTTGTCCCTGTGTCCTCCTCCTCTTCAACGAACGCGTGGTTGTAGTGCTTTTCCTCCTCTTCTGCTTCCTTGCGCCGACATTCTCTCTCGATGGTAGGTCCAATGTCGTTCAGAATGCGCGAGCGAATACCGCTGATGCACCGACTGTTTCTCTCGACAACTAGGCAATTCCTGTTGCGAAGAACACAGGCAATTGCACCAGTTCCAGAGCCTGAAAAGGCATCGATGACGTGGGAGCCAGGAGGGGAGAATTTGTCCACCAGCCAACCGTACAGAGTGACGGGCTTCTGGTACGGACACATGACTTCAAGGTCGAGAGGGTGATTATACTTCTTCATGACAGCGTCGAAAATGCGGTAGTTGTGCCGGGCGTCCGTCGAGGCGAAATTGTAGTGGGCCGCCTCCCTTTTACCACTCACGCTGTAGTAACCGATTACACAGAACCCCATTGCACTGATAAGACGAGGCCCGCCTGTACTCATTACATTCGGTTTGCACCAGGTGATCACCTCTTGCCATGCGTTGCAAACCCTCGCAAAGATACTCCTCACATAAGATAGCATGTCCAAAGAGCAGAACCCAGCAACTGTCCACAGCAGCCCCGTGCATACCTCCTTGATGTTCTAAAGGACGTGGACAATATCATCCTCCGGAAAAGGACGGTTGTCATCTGCTGACATCGACAGATCGAATCCGTAAGGGAAGTCGCAGATGGTCAAAGAGAAGGGCAAAGGCTTCTGCAAATTCTTCAAATCAAGCATATCACCTTCCAGGACTTTTACAAAACCAGAGTGGTCCCCATGTCTGACCTCAGTCTAGTCAGAGAAGTGAGTAGAAGCTTCTTCAGCCATTGCCATCTTTTGCCTTGTTCTTCGACTTTCTCTTACACGCTTGTCGTTCAACTCCTTCCACGCCTTAGCGCGCTCAACGTGTGCCACTAAAGCTTTAGGCACATCTCCCTTCACCCTCCAGTTACTTGCAAATGGCTCCAAAAGATCCTTCGTCGTGTGAACCGGGTAAAGCGATTTGCACTCCTCCCAGTCTGTCGAGCCAGTCTCATTCACGAAGAACTTCACCACACAACCTAGCCGCTTTGCCACCTCAAATTTCTTCCTCATTCCCTCAATCGAGAGCTGCTTTGCTACCACCTGCTCGAGAATGGGAATGACAGAGTCATCGTCCAAAGAACCCATCTCGACCCAAGGTGCCTAAGGCATATCAGTGGGCTCTGCGATAATCTTTCCATCCTCCACTGGGGCATGAGGATTGAAAAATTGATTCGCTGGCGAAGTGCTTTAGCTGCATTAAATCTCGTGCCCTTCTTCTTCTTCTGTGGCACGGGTTTCACTTCTGACGAGCTATCCTCGTTCTCATCCACCGGGCCTTTAGACGTCTTTCTCGCAGGAGCCTTCAACCTTTGGTTCAGACAGTCACCCTTCAACCACATGTCAAAAATTCTGTTCTGAATGTCCCAGACTTCAGTCGACCGCATGCAGATCTGGAACTGAGGATCCGTTCTTTGCAGCAACTCTTTGCTAGGGTTCGAAAAACCCAGTTCCTTCAAGCAAGAAGACTTCGTAGCAGCATTCTTTTCGCAGCCCTGTGCCTCAAAGACCATGCGCCATCATCTCAACTTCTCAATGAACGTGAATTTCTTGTGGAAGTCTGCCACGTGATTATGCTCGTGTGCAATCTGACGAGCTTCCTCGTTGGTGAGGCCGACGTAAATGAAGCACTTCGCCTTTTGGAACTGCTCTGTCCTCGGGTGAAGCCTTCTCAGACGTTCCCTGGCTTCCCTCGTATGCCCACCGCCGATGATGTAAACGTCGTACTTCCCGCCAAGCAACTTGTTCCAATCTACATCTTCCTTCTTGCTGACTTGCTTAGGATCAAGCAAGCCGACATGAGGAAGAGTATCAGCAAAATGATTCTTCTTCATGGATTCGACGATGGTTCGAACGTGTTGCTCGTCGGGTTCACAAATCTCCAGCGGCCTCTTGCCATTGGCGTCGGCGGGCGGTCTCTTCAGGCAGAACATCGGAAGGGTAAAGGAGTTGCTGTCCAGTTTCTTTGCATTAAGCTCCTTTAACTCCTCCCACATTTGATCCAGCCGCTTGGCCTCACTGTTAGGGGCGAGTTCTTTAGGCACCTTGAGCTTCTCCTCTTCCTTCTTCCCCTTCCCCTTCCTTTTTCACACTGGTTTCATCGTGCAAAGTTTCTGCTTCTTCGATTTTGCACCGGATCCCGCATCAGCTGCAGCAGTGGATGCTACACAAGTCTGTGGCGAAGTAACAGGGACACCTTCCCGCTTCTTCGTTGGTGGACGTGTAGGTCGCTTGGTGGTGGTACCCCTGCCCATTGCCGACAAGCCGCCCAAGGACAAACTGCCCTCATTTCCACTGACGCCAGGGAGATGCTTGCGCAGGGAGGGCAAGCAATACTCTTCGACGACCTTGCAAAATTCCTGCACCAATAACAGACGACAAAGTCGATTATAAAGCTATAATAGTAGTAGAGAACCGTACTTTCACTACATTAGAGTACGTTAAGCACTAACACTGTATGTTCTCAGGAACACTGTAGCACTACAGCATAAAGCAACATTATAGTACTATACTTCCTCAACAGTAGCAAAGGACTTCGCTTTCTCAAGACTAAACTTTCTCTAGAGCAATGTAGAGTACAACTTTATAGTACTATAACTTCCACACAACATTTTAGCACATTATAAAACTATAATTCCAGCACAGCATTATAGTACTATACTTCCTCAACAGTGTCAAGAGACTCTGCTTCCTCTACAACATTTTACTACAATACTTTCTCTAGAGCAATATAGTAGTTATAGTACTATAATATTAACACAACATTTTAACATTACGCTTTCTCAATAGCATTATAGAACTATAATCCCAACAAGGCATGATAGAACTATGATTCCACAACAGTGTCCAAAGACTCTGCTTCTTCTTCAGAATTATAGTACTATACTTCCTCAATAGTGTTCCTCTAGAGTAATGTAGTGCTACAACATTAGAGTACTGTAATTTCAACACAGCAATATAACACTATACTTTCTCAAGACCGATGTAGCACTACAATAAAGTACTTTAATTTCAACACAGCATTATAGCACTTTACTTTCTCAACAGTATTCAAGAACTCTGCTTCCTCTACAACATTATAATACTATACTTTCTCTAGAGCACAACGTTTTAGCAGTTCAGCATTAGAGAACATTAATTTCTTCTAAACTTTCTCTACATCATTCTAGTGCTATACGTTCTGTACATGCAGATAACAAACTTAAGCTCACATACAGTAAGCAATGCAATGGGTTGCTGAAAGATATACCTTGAAGTCCTGTTGGCTCGTCCTTTTCAGCCTGGCATCGACCTTTTTCTCCCAGATTACCATCCTCGCACGCCTTAAAACAAGCTGTGCCATTTGCTTCCCCAATTTCACCCACACCAGTGCGAGATCCTCGATACTCTCCTTGGAAGCCGCGAAGTAAATTACCTCCCCAAATGCCTTGTATTTTTCTTTTCCTGGCATTTGAATGAATAGCTCAACATCTGTGGCAACCAGCGTGATTGTCCACATGCAAGGGAAAAAGTCCATTGACTGCTTAACCTTCCTTGGAAATTGTTCAACGCTTGGCCTTCTTCGCTCCTCTTCTTCCTCGGTCCCCTCGTTCTCTTCCATTTCTTCCCCAAAAAATTCATCTTCCTCGAAGACTTCCTCTTCCTCGTCTTCGTTAAGTTCTTCCTCCTCCGCCATTTCTTCCTCATCCTCCATTTCCTCCTCCTCCTCCATTTCCTCCTCCTCCTCCATTTCTTCCTCCTCCACCTCAAAGCATTCTTCGTCCTCCATGTCGGCCTCTTCTCTGCTGTACTGCATGCCAGAATGCTCTAACACTTCTTCAGGTTCAAGACCTTGCATGGTGCGCGGCCTGCTCAAAGGGGCACCCTGGCTGCGCCTTCCGGAACTCGTCGAGGCCGCAACCATCCTCAAATTACCCTTCACTTTTACCATTGTCGAGATGTTAAAATCTGCAAAAGTCATAATTCTAAGTTCATATCCTTTTACATAACATTCACAAGGGAAAAGCTCAGTTGAAACAAAGATAAAGTAGCGAAAGACGCGGTGTCTAAAGTCCGCGAGTAGACTTCGGGCATTACAGAACTATGTTCTCTACAAACAGAAAAATAACAGCACATCCATCCTAAATAGCTTCCCGACCGCAATCCA